CCAGCAAAAACCAGAGAATCACTCACTTCTTAGCATAACCAACCAGATAAGGTTAAAAAAAGTTAACATTTGCCCAAGAATAAAACCCTAAAGAAGTAGAAGAATTAATAGGAATCATAATTATAGGGAATAAGTGGGGAAAGTGTAATTACTGTGAATATTGCAATTAAAAGTATTACAAATGAAAATTTAAATACTCCAGATTAAAATATTTTTTTAATGATAAAGATATTTGGGGGGAAAAGACTAAAGCAAAATATCTATGAATGGCTGAATTGAAAACCCATTTGCTTTGAAAATGTTCACTCAAATCTCAATTTAAAAAATATGTTTAAATCTATAAATATTTTTGATGAGTATTAAACAAAATTTCCAAGTTGCAAAAGTATACTGTATGATAGTCTAATTGACAGATTGATATTTTTTACCCTAACTAGCTCATAATCTTGTTATTGCTATTGTTGTTAGGTGCTGTCAAGTTGAGTGTGACTCACAGAGACCCTATGAAAAACAGACCGGAATTCTGCCCTATCCTGTGCCATCCTCACAATCTCTGGCAACCTAGAGCCCACTGCTGCTGATACTGTATCGATTCATCTTGTTGAGTGCCTTCATCTCTTTCACTGACCCTCCATCTTCGCAAGCATGATGTCCCTTCCAAGGAATAGCCTCTCCTAGCAACATGTCCAAAGTATGAGATATGAAGCTTTGCCGTCTTTACCTCCAAGGTGCGCTCTATCTGCACTTTTACCAAGACATATCTGTTTGATCTGTTAGCGGTGCATGGGATAGTCAGTACTCTTCTCCAGCACCACAACCAAAAGGCATCCGTCCTTCTGTAATCCTTACACATTGTCTAACTCTCAGATGGGTAGCAAATGATTGAAAAGACCATACATTGCCTTAATCAGGCAATATTTTGCTTACATGTGATAGTATTATATTGGTCAATAATTTTCCACATTCTGTTGGATCACCCTTCTTGGGAATGGGAACAAACATTCATCTCTATTAGTCAGCCAGATAGCTGTCCTCCAAATTTTCTGCCATAGACTAGGCTGGCATAGACATGTCCAGGGCTGCATTTCTTAGCTGAAACATGCCAATTGGCATCCTATCGGTTCCTGGGTATGATTTTTTTGCCAACGCCTTCAGTACAGCTTGAATTTATTCTTTATTACCTTTACCTCTCGATTATATGGTT